GCATAGCCAAATGCATTTATGTATTTTCATTTACTGGACCAAACTTGGGCACGGTAGTCCACGCTCTGGTTACATCCAGTATAGACTACTGCAACACGCTCTACGTGGGTTGCCTTTGAAGACTGTCCGGAAGCTACAAATGGTCCAACGGGTGGTAGCCAGGTTGCTAACAGGAGCGGCACTCAGGAAGCACACAACTCCTCTGTTGTGCCAGCTTCACTGGCTGCCAGTTTGCTTCCAGGCACAGTTCAAAGTGCTGATGTTAGCCTATAAAGCCCTAAATCAGTGGTTCTCAAGCTTCCTTATGCCGCGACCCCTTAATACAGTTCCTCATGTTGTGGGGACTCCAACCGTAAAATTATTTTCCTTCCTATTTCATAACTGTCATTTTGCTACTGCTATCAATCATAAATATCTGATATGCAGGATGTATTTTCATTAACTGGACCAAATTTGCCACAAATACCCTATACGCCCAAATTTGAATACTGGTAGGGTTGGGGGGGGGGGGGTATGATTTTGTCATTTGGAAGTTGTAGTTGCTGGGATTATAATTCACCTGCAAATCAAAGAGCATTCTAAACCCCACCAATGATGGAATTGGGCCAAACTTGGCACACAGAACTATCACGACCAACAGAAAATACTGGATGAGTTTGGTGGGCATTGATCTTGAATTTTGGAGTTGTAGTTCGCTTACATCCAGAGAGCACTGTAGACTCAAACAATGATGGATCTGAACCAAACTTGGCACGAATACTCAATATGCCCAAATGTGAACACTGTTGGAGTTTGGGGGAAATAGTCCTTGACATTTTGGGAGTTGTAGTTGCTGGGATTTATAGTTCACCTGCAATCAAAGAGCATTCTGAACCCCACCAATGATAGAATTGGGCCAAACTTGGCGCACAGAACTATCATGACCAACAGAAAATACTGGATGAGTTTGGTGGGCATTGACCTTGAATTTTGGAGTTGTAGTTCGCCTACATCCAGAGAGCACTGTAGACTCAAACAATGATGGATCTGGACCAAACCCGGCACGAATACTCAATATGCCCAAATGTGGACACTGTTGGAGTTTGGGGGAAATAGTCCTTGACATTTTGGGAGTTGTAGTTGCTGGGATTTATAGTTCACCTGCAATCAAAGAGCGTTCGGGACTCCACCAAGGATAGAATTGGGGTAGACTTCCCACATAGAACCCCCATGACCAACAAAAATACTGTGTTTTCTGATGGTCTTTAGTGACCCCTCTGACACTCCCTCATGACCCCTCCAGAGGTCCCGACCCCCGGGTTGGGAACCATTGCCCTAAATGGTTTCGGTCCAACTTACCTATCCGAACGTATCTCTCCTAATGAACCATCTAGGACGTTAAAATCTGGGGGGGGGGGCTGCTCTTGGACCTGCCTTCCTTGCAGATGCATTTGGCAGGGCCAAGAGGCAGGGCCTTCTCAGTGGTGGCCCCTTGACTGTGGAACACTCTGCCTAGGAATATAAGATCCACTCTGAGTCGCCTCTTGGCTGAGAGGGACAGTATATAAATGTGGTAAATAAATAAGTAAATAATGCACAACAAAATGTGCAATGGAGAGAGTACAGTCGGCCCTTTGCATTTGCGGATCTGATTATACACAGGTTTGATTAAAATGTTTTCTCTAAGAATATCTAGGTCCCTCGGTGGGACTCTATGTTCAGCTTCTAGTGTAGTGTTTCTCAACCTTCCTAATGCCGCGACCTCTTAATATTATTATTTGGCTCTCTATTATTATTATTATTATTATTATTATTATTATTATTATTATTATTATTATTCCAGCTGGGGATCTTGTGTGCGTGTGTGGACAAAGTATATCCTGAACACGAAGCCGTATTTTCTGCTTAGGAGATAATCATGCTCCTTTCTGTGCAAAATAATGTGCCATTTTGGTTGTGATCAGAATAAATCCCTAACTATGAATAATCTTCACACTCTGTGCAGTTTTGGACCACTTTTCTCCCAATGAGAAAAATTGCAATTTTTGCCCATTTCTTGGGAGGGCTGCTGGCTCTGGGAGCACGGGATGAAAAGCACACTTTCCTTACATACTTAATGGGGAGGAAAGGAGCCCTCGGGGAGCTCAGGACTAATAGGATTTAAAACAGCTTAGCCTTGGCTGGGTTCTGCTGCAAAGAGGAGGAGGGAATTGAAGCAGTGGCATGAATCTTGGAATCGGCGAAATAATGTGGCAGCATGTAAAGCTTCTGTTTAGAAGACCTTCCAACCAGCACGGGCCCTTTCTCAGGATGCTCCAATCCATCCCTCTGCAGTTTTCAATTCTTCCATTCCACATTCAGCATTTCACATTCACTGACTATGTTCATTCATCCTTTTGGAAAATGGCAATCTCCAGAAACTTTTGGAGATTTTATGATCTTTGGAAAGGCATGACCCTGTTAGAAGTCATAACCTTTTGAAAAATGATGCCATAACCTCTTGGTAACAGCATGACCTATTAGTCAAAACCTTTTGTGAAAATGGCATTCACCACCATTCTCTATCTATATGGCCATGGTCTAGAGGCATTCTCTCCTGACGTTTCACCTGCATCTATGGCAAGCATCCTCAGAGGTAGTGAGATCTGTTGGAACTAGGAAAAAGGGTTTATATATCTTTTATATCTATATAAAAAGTAGGGCTGGGCGGTTTCGTTTCGTAATTTCGTAATTCGTTAAGAAATCGTTATTTTTTTTATAACGAAGCGATATTGAACCATTCAGGAGCAACTAAAAAACGAAACGAATTTTTCCAATTCGTTTCGTAATTGTTTCATAATTGTTTTGTTATTGATTCGTTATTGATTCGTTATTGATTCGTAAATGTTTCGTTATTATTTCCGCATGTCTGGTGCAAGTTTTAGGGTTTCTGTTTGTTTTCTCAGTGAAACGAATTTTTCCAATTCGTTTCGTAATTGATTCGTTATTATTTCCGCATGTCTGGTGCAAGTTTTAGGGTTGCTGTTTGTTTTCTCAGTGAAAAAAAATATAATTATCACAACAACAGTCAACAACAGAGGGAGAGGGAAGCTTCAGAAGTTTTTTTAGCGTATTGCGCGATCGCGGCCGCCATTAACGAATCGATTCGTAATCGATTCGTAATTGTTTCGTAATTGTTTTATGATTTCCAAAATTTCGTAAATATCGAACTTTTTTAAAGGAAAATTTCGGAATTCTTTTAAATAACGAAACGCAAAAAAAACCCCTAAAAACGAATCGAGTTTAGAAACAAATTTTTCCGTGTTTGGACAGCCCTAATAAAAAGGGTTTATATATTTTTTTCCTAGTTCCAACAGACCTCACTACCTCTGAGGATGCTTGCCATAGATGCAGGCGAAACGTCAGGAGAGAATGCCTCTAGAACATGGCCATACAGCCCGAAAAAACCTACAACAACCTAGTGATTCTGGCCATGAAAGCCTTCGACAATACATTCTCTATCTATCTATTTATCTATCTGTCTATCTATCCATCCATACAGCAGAGTTTCAGAAGTGTTCTTTTAGTTGCTCAAAACATCTACTCTTCCATAAAATATATTTGCCTTTAAATCATCCTCTCAAGAGACAAAAATAAGTAGACTTCTTTAAAAGTAACAGAGTTGGTTTGCTCACAAACTTCATGTATTCAGCATACAGGTACTTTGCTTATCAATCCAGTTACAAATAGATTTGAAGTAGTTTCACTGTTTAGGTAACACAGGACATTTTTCTCAGAATCAATAGTCCAAAGTCCAAAGCATGTCTCTAATAGAGTCTCTGTAGTCTGTTTCAACTAACTTCTAAAAGCATACATCCATTTCTACTGAAGTCTCTAAGCATACAATTCCTGCTGTCTTCTTAAAAGCATACTGTTTTCTACTGAAGTCTAAACTGAACTGTTCTAAAATGGAGTCTGAGTTCTGTCGGGGATGCTTTGAATGCAATTTTCCTGCTTCTTGGCAGGGAATTGGACTGGATGGCCCATGAGGTCTCTTCCAACTCTATGATTCTATGTTCAGCGGTGGAACTCTCTGCCCCGTAGTGTGATGGAGGCTCCTTCTCTGAAGACTTTTAAACAGAGGCTGGATGGCCATCTGTTGGGGGGTGCTTTGAATGAGATTGTCCTGCTTCTTGGCAGGGGGTTGGACTGGATGGCCCATGAGGTCTCTTCCAACTCTATGATTCTGTGTTCAGCAGTGGAACTCTCTGCCCTGTAGTGTGATGGAGGCTCCTTCTCTGAAGACTTTTAAACAGAGGCTGTATGGCCATCAGTTGGGGGTGCTTTGAATGGGATTGTCCTACTTCTTGGCAGGGGGTTGGACTGGATGGCCCATGAGGTCTCTTCCAACTCTATGATTCTATGTTCAGCAGTGGAACTCTTTGCCCCACAGTGTGGTGGAGGCTCCTTCTTTGAAGGCTTTTAAGCAGAGGCTGGATGTTGAGGGTGCTTTGAATGGGACTGTCCTGCTTCTTGGCAGGGGGTTGGACTAGATGGCCCATGAGGTCTCTTCCAACTCTATGATTCTATGTTCAGCAGTGGAACTCTCTGCCCCACAGTGTGGTGGAGGCTCCTTCTTTGAAGGCTTTTAAGCAGAGGCAGGATGGCCATCTGTTGGGGGTGCTTTGAATGGGAATGTCCTGCTTCTTGGCAGGGGGTTGGACTGGGTGGTGCACGAGGTCTCCTCCAATTCTATGGTTCTATTATTCTTTCTATGAATCTTTCTATGATACTACCTATGAAACTTGGTAGGACAGAGAGAACAATGCTCAGCAGTGTGGTAGAGACTTGCAACTTATCTAGAAGGTGAATTGTTGCTCCTGGAGGCTTCAAACAATTCAACCATCCCTGTTGTGACATGAAGAGGACACATCGGGTCCCTCACTTGTGTTGTCTGTGCTGGTAGTAATGCTTTATTCCCAGTAGTGAAGCATGCCAAGGTCAGCTCTGTGGTCACCTTCTGCTTCTTTTTCTCCATCCAGGTCCGTTCTGCAGCCAGGAAAAGATGGCACCGATGGCAGGACCACCATTCCTTGCGAGTACGGGTTGCCCGGGCTATGTCGATCCCCACGTCTCCAACAAGGATTAGCTTTCACAGTATAAAACAGACTGCAGCTGTGTGAACAAGCCTATGCCTTCACCATCTGCTGCCTATGGCGCTCTTTTCTCTCATGTCCTTTCTACTCTGCTTTCTTCTTGCAATCTGTTTTTCATTTTGACCCTTTTCCCTTTGTTTTGATCTGGACTCTTACCTGTTCTTGTGGATACCTTCCAGTTTGGATGTAAAGCTGCTTTTTGAGAATGCTAACCAAAAAAAAAACCTGGGGGAAAGGTGGAAGGAGTAAAATTACAGAAGACAGAAGTCAGCAAGAAGTTGTCCCATGTTCCCAGGATGTTGACCATGTTGCCAGAAACAATGATGAGTTGGAATGAAGACCTTTCTTTTTCATTTCGCCTGTTCTGGTTGTGGAGACTGTTGGTTAGACTGTTGATGTGCTTCTTTGGTCTTGCTTTGGTTTCATGCGGCCATCATTCCATTGGCAAAGTTTGTCTCCTGCTTGCGCACGTGTCCCTTTGCTCTTTGGTATTTTTTGCTTCCCTACCCAACATCCAAAGACATCCTCCCAAACTCACTATTGTGTTGTGGTAGTTCCCAATCATAACCATTCCATTGTTTGTGGAGAATGAAAGGGTTGGAAAACCATCTGTCAAACATAAGTTACTGATACCATTGACTTTGACCTCGGGAGGACACCCACAGATCGCCACAGAAGATGTCCTTGGTCTGTCTGACCATGTGATATGTCCCCCCTAGCCAAGCACTTCTCCGATCCCATGTCCTGCTCTCCACTGGCAACAGATGGTCAACCAGGGAGATGGAGAGCAGAGAGCCATTTTGAAGCCCTACCTGTGAATTCCTATGCTTTGGTAGACCATGCAGGACCTCAGCACGTGCCTTCACCTTGACACAAGAGCTGACTCTCCACATTTGCAGGTTTAACTTTTGTAGATCTGATAATTTGCAGATTCAGTGTGTCCTCTCCATAATTTACTAGGTCCTCAAATGCAATTCTATGGTCAACGTCCATCAGAAGTTGACCACAAAGTCATTCTAGAGTACTCATGGGCAAACCTAGGCCCTCTGGGTGTTTTGGGCTTCAACTTCAACAACTGGCTGATAGGAATTGTGAGAGTTCAAGTCCAAAACACCTGGAGGGCCCAAGTTTGACCATGCCTGCTCTAGAGATTCCGGGAGGGAACACCTTTCTGGAAACTTCAAGGTCTTCTAGCAAAACACTTAAGTGTAACATGCACCAAAAGTTGGCCATACAAATGCATGGAGAGGTGCTGCATTTTGTATTCATGGTTTTCCCACTTCTTGTGTCGGTTCTGTGCTCCTAACTCCAGGAAATGTGGAGAGTTGTCCATTCTCAAGCACAAAATTTGATCTGCAATGGCATTAGCACAATAATGTTCCCTGTTCTTAATCAACAAAGGGTTTACTCTCATTTCATGAGAGTAAAGTACTTCACTGAGGTTTTCTGGTTGTCCATAAGAGATCTGTTGGCTCTTCAGAACAGAACCTTCAGGAAAGTAATCACCTTTGGCTAGTGATTCTCAACCTGTTGGTCCCCAGATGTTTTGGCCTTCAATCCGTGGTCTCCATTGGATGGCTGCGTGCCAGCAGGTTGAGGATGAATCCAGCAAAGACGGAGATCCTATGGCTGGGTCAACCAGGCAGTGGGGATATCCAGCTGCCTACCCTGGATGGTGAGGTGCTACGCCCATCATCATTGGTAAAAAGTCTGGGAGTCCTTTTGGACCCTCTGCTGACGATGGAGGCCCAGGTCTCCGCCGTTAGCAGAACCGCCTTTTTTCATCTGCGGCAGGCTAGATGGCTGGCCCCCTCCCTGTCCAGGGACGACCTAGCTACGGTGATCCAGGCTACGGTCATCTCAAGACTGGACTACTGTAATGCCCTCTACATTGGCCTTCCTCTGTCGGTGATCCGAAAGCTCAAGTGGGTACAAAATGCAGCTGCTCGGCTTCTTGCGGGAATTCCGATGAGATGCCACATAACACCAATCTTACTACAGCTGCATTGGTTACCCATTGAGCACCGGATCACTTTCAAAGTGATGGTACTCACCTTTAAGGCCTTGCATGGTCTGGGGCTGATGTACCTGAGGGATCGCCTCACCCCCTACCAACCCCAGAGATCCCTCCATTCTGAGGACCAAGATTTATTGGAAATTCCTAGTGTCAAGACCTTGCATCCAACAGCAACCAGACGCAGAGCCTTTACAGCAGTGGCACCATCACTCTGAAATACTCTGTCACCTGAAGTCCATGCTTTGTGGGACGTATCGGCTTTCCGCAGGGCATGTAAGACATATCTGTTTTGACAGGCCTTTGACCTTTGATATTGTTGTTTTTAAATTGTTTTTAAATTGTGTTTGATTTTAGCCTGTTCTTGTAAGCCGCTCTGAGCCCCAGGGGAGTGGCTGCATATAAGTTTGAATAATAAATAAATAAACTCCCAGAAATCTGATAAACTGGCTGGGATTTCTGGGAGTTGTAAGCCAAAACCAAAACACCTGGAGATCCACAGGTTGAGAACCACAGTTTTAGGCACTTTTAAGAAGAGGAAACATGCCAAGGTTTGAACCATATTGGTTGCTGTCCCAAAGCCCCTCTGAAACATCCGTCATGCTTCACATTCAAAGATTGCCAACATGGTCACAGCTTCCATAGAAAGTCAGATTGGATCCATAGATGAGTTGCTCCTGGAAAAGGAGGTAAATAAATAAGAACAAAAATGACCTCTATTTCTGCTGCAGTTGTCCATCCTGATGACATTCTGACCTTAAGCTTGAAAATGTTCTCATGAGCCTTCCTCATTGTTCCCTTCCTTGGGTTGGGAAGTTCTTGGGTGAAGAATCTGCTTTCTGTGCAATGTGTTGGTCTTGCTGATAGGCAAAGCTTGAATCACTATCTTAGTGGCACATCTCTATCTGTTTCCCCTCGATTCATCACCTGCATTTTGCTGACCAGCTTTGAAAGGGTGCTGAACTACTTTGCTTTTACCTGGGAAGGCGACGACCGAGGGATTCCTCTTCTTTCCTTTGCCAACAGCCTCAAACTAATGCTTGTTTAGCATATTTCTTCCTTTCTTTCTTTTTTAAAGGGAAACTTTGTATAATAAAATAAAATAATATAAAATGATGCTGAGCCGACGGCGGCAAAGATGGCGACGCAGCTGTAAAAAGGTTACGTCTGGATTGCGTTACTGCGGCGGACTTTCTCTGGGGCTTTTTATGTGACGTTGAGATACCCTGTAAATATTTTCAATAATAAACACTTCTGGTTTGGATTTCTATTGATTTAGAGAGCTGTGTGGTTATGTTGCAAGGGGCACTCATTCATGTTTTGCTTTCATTTCGTTTTTATCATGCCAGAAACAAATTCAGAATATATTGCAAGTCGCTTCTGGTGGGAGAGAATTGGCCATCTGCAAGGACGTTGCTCAGGAAATGCCCAAATGTGTTACCATCCTGTGGGAGGCTTCTCTCATGTCCCCTCATGGGAAGCTGGGGCTGACACATGGGAACTCACCCTGTCTCATGGATTCGAACCTCCAACCTTCAGGTCTTCAGATCAGCGGTTCAGCCCGCACAAGGATTTAACCGATTGCACCACTGCAATTCCAGAAAGGAAGCGGAAATAGTGCTGGTTTGTTGAAAGGAACTCTATTTCAGATTGCCATTATTATTATTATTATTGCTAATAAATATAAATTAATTATATTTATATTGACTGTGGCCCCAAATTCAGGGGGGAATTGTAGTCCAAAAAATAAAAAAGACTCCAGGTTGGGAGAATGATAACGTACTGAACTATTGATAGGTTAAGATGGAGAAAGGATGTTAACCAAATTTTCTACTGTGAAGCTCTTCTGCATCCAGGGAATTTCAGCTTCCTTAATTTTTATCCAAAACACTTTCATTGCCATGGCTCAGTGCTATGAAATCATGGGAGTTGTAGTTTGGCGAGTCACCAGCCCTCCTTTGGCAAACAAAGCTAAAGACCTTGAGAAACTACAACTCCCAGTACTCCTTACCATTCACCTAAGGCAGTCAAAGTGATGTAAAATTCATTACTCCTACAATATTTTTTTTGTCGTGTCAGAAGCATCCTGTTGTGAGAGAATTAGCCGTCTGCAAGGACGTTGCCCAGGGGATGCCCGGATGATTTTTGATGTTTTATCATCCTTGTGGGAGGCTTCTCTCATGTTCCCGCATGAGGAGCTGGAGCTGATAGAGGGAGCTCATCTGCCTCTCCCCGGATTCGAACCTGCAACCTGTCGGTCTTCAGTCCTGCCGGCACAGGGCTTTAACCCACTGCGCCAGCGGGGGCTCCTACAATGTAAGCATAAAGCTAAAGGCCTTGGAAAACTACAATTCCCAAGACTCCATGCCATTGATCTAAGACCATTATAGTGGTGTAAAAATCATTACACATTGGGAAGGATGGAGGGTGGGATAGGATGGAGAACCTTGCAGTTTGTAGGAAAAATGAGCAAAGATTCTCCGTCCTACTTGTATGGTGTAACTCTTTACCCATGTATTCGTACCATAACACATTTTTGCTGAACGTTGGAATTGTACAACTGGTTGTTTATCTGTCTTATTCTGAACTGCAGTGTCCAGTGGCCCTAAACCCAGTGAAGAAAGTGGCACAAACTATATCTGGACCAAACTTGGCACGAATACTCAGTATGCGTAAAAGTGAACACTGGTGGAGTTTGGGGATTGGTGGAGTTTGGGGTTTGGTGGGCAGTAACCTTGAGTAACCTTTAGTTTGGGAGTTCTAGTTCACCTACATCCAGAGAGAACTGTGGACTCAAACAATGATAGATCTGGACCAAACTTGGCACGAACACTCAGTATGCGCAAATGTGAACACGTGTGGAGTTTGCGGAGAATAGACTTGACATTTGGGAGTTGTTTTCATTTGGGAGTTGTAGTTGCTGGGATTTACAGTTCACCTACAATCAAAGAGCATTCTGAACCCTAACAATAGAATTGGGCCAAACGTCCTACACAGAACCCCCATGACCCCTCTGACACCCCCTTGTGACTCCTCTCCAGTGGTCCTGACCTCCAGGTTGAGAAACACTGCACTATATTCTGATGAGCTACCATTTGCTGCTTAATGAAAACTTTTCTGCAGACTATAATCCAGTTCTAGCTACTGGGATAGAGACGGGGCAAAACAGCACAAGGTACATTTATATATAGGTTACCAAATGGCTTCCAGCTGCATCTTGAAACTCAAGATATTTGAGACTTTTCCCCAATGAGCTGTAAAGAGGTACTGAGATGCTGGCATTATACTAGCTGAGCACCGAGAGAGAGTTGCCTGCAATTGCTTGGGGGCTACTTGGCAGATTATAATAAATGCTGCAGAAACGTTCAGAAAAGAAGCTTAAAGGCTCTAAACCAGACTGTTCTTGGATCAATGCATATAAGTTGAAGAAATCAGATCACGCACTATCTAACTCTCCTGGTTTAGCACAGACAGTTCCGGTTTATCCTCCGTTGTCCCACTTTTTCGGCTTTCTCTTTCCTCCCATTTTTCAACTTCATGCTCCACTTACTTCTATTACTGCAAACCGAGTTCAAAACCAAAAAAAAGTAATTTGCACTCAACCAAATCAGGGTGCATTTAGACTGAAGAATGAATGAAGTTTGACACCGCTTTAATTAATAATAATAATCATCATCATAACAACTAGCCATCCCCTGCCATGCGTTACTGTGGCCCACATGGGGGGTTCTGCGTTCGAGGTTTGGCCCAATTCTATCGTTGGTGGGGTTCAGAATGCTCTGTGATTCTACAAATCCCAGCAACTACAACTCCCAAATGTCAAGATTCTATTTTCTCCAAACTCCACCAGTGTCCACGTTTGGGCATATTGAGTCTTCGTGTAGAGTTTGGTCCAGATCCATCATCGTTTGAGTCCACAGTCTTTGTTGACTGAAGCAACTTTTCCTGTTCAAGGTCTCACTCCCCTCATTAACTTCTGCACCTGGGAGCTCGAAATCCACTTCATATCTAGAATTGATCAGAGAACTAAGGAGCAAAGCCTTTGCCAAGCTAAAGATGTGGAGAATACTATTGCAACAACTCAGGTCTCTGTGACCTGTCTTTTAAACTCCATTCAGGCCCTTACAGCAACTCAGGTCTCTCTGGCCTCTCATCCCCAGACCCTGGCCCAGAAACCGAATCAACATCCCCATTCCCTTCAGGAACATCTACATCAGTGTTTCTCAACCTGGGGGTCGGGACCCCTGGGGGGGGTCGCGAGGGGATATCAGAGGGGTCCCCGAAGACCATCAGAATATACAATATTTTCTGTTAGTCATGGGGGTTCTGTGTGCCAAGTTCAATTCTATGTTTGGTGGAGTTCAGAATGCTCTTTGATTGTAGGTGAACTATAAATCCCAGCAACTACAACTCCCAAATGTCAAGGTCTATTTTCCCCAAACTCCACCAGAGTCCACAGTTGGACATATTGAGTGTTCATGCCAAGTTTAGTCCAGATTGATCATTGTTTGAGTCCACAGTGCTCTCTGGATTTAGGTGAACTACAAGACCCAAACTCAAGGTCAATGCCCACCAAGCCATTCTAGCATTTTCTGTTGGTCATGGGATTTCTGTGTGGCCTGGTCTGATTCAATTCCATCATTGGTGGAGTTC